GCTAGTTGGATATCTGCTTCCCTTTTCATTACGAAGGTCTCGGAAGCAATGTGTGCTCTGTTAGGCTCACATGAGTTGTGATTTTTGGCAGATTGCTGTGGAAAAGTTCAGCGAAGCGACTGTTGGATATAGGGAGAACAGAGAGATTGCAGAGAAATGGGTTCAACTTTTTAACACTTCATACTTCATGGTCTCACCTGTGAGTACAAATCATCCGTTCTTTTCCCCGATAAGTGAAAGGACGTAGGGCCGGATTTGTTATTGATGTAATAATATCGGATCGTCTCGATACTCACGTGGTAGATGTAAATATCTTGAAGTGGTGAGCACCAGGTGGAACCATAACCGCTAGAAATCTTAGTAATTGGCTCCTAGTACTATGTCTAAAAATGCTAGTATGGACATCTAATCTTAGAAGAGATTGTTGATAGCCTTTCCTTTGCGAGACAAATAGGTCCAAGATGTGGAAGGTGTGGAATTATGTGGGACACTGAAGAATGTTGTGGCAATAGCAGCAGGTACGAGATGATACTTCACCTCTCGCTTTATGTCAAATTGAGGCAATTTAGTAAAAGACAATGGTTTCATGAATGTGCAGGTTTTGTAGACGGTCTGGAGATGGGAAACAACACAAAGGTGAGTGACTGAGTGCACATAGTTCAATCATGTTGCTCGACGATGTTATTTTTATTCAGTGAGCTAATTGGATATCATGCATCTACCTTTCTTGAACTTTGCGAATCATTTATGGGATTCATTTAGGCTGCAATAATGAGGATTGGTCTGAGAGAGATGAAGGCCTTTTCGAAGCTTTTGTTTCCATCCGTCAAGGATACCACCTTCTTCGAGAGCTGTGGCGTAGCTGATCTCATTACAACTTGTTGTAAGATGATAAAAAAAAACGTCCTTTTCCCTTATTGGGGTAGTGCTTCATTTACAACGAAAAAACAATCTGTTCTTACAGAATGACCGTTAACTTTTGGCAGTGGGAGGAAGGAACAGGAAAGTTGCAGAGGCTTTTGCCAAGAATGAGGGGAAAAGGTTTTGCTTTAGCTTAGCATAGCACGATGCGAATGGTTATTGAGATGGTTCTGACTTTGTTGTTCATCTTCAGGTCTTTTGACGAACTTGAAGCAGAGATGCTGCAGGGACAGAAGTTACAGGTACAGGCTGAAATTTTATGAACAAATTTAAAATGCTATGGTTTGCGATGCTTAGGATTATTTGTGTGATAGTGAGTGAAGATGGATAGAAATGAATGGCAATGAAATGAAGATTAGGTGAAAATTCAAACATTTTTTTTGCATCTGCACTATAAAAACCTGCACTCTCTGCGTTTAACGAAGAAAGAGGGCCAGCACTGCAGATCATACAGACATATCTTTCCACTTCTGCTTGACATTCTTAATTTTCAATGTCTTTCACGATTATTGCACTTACAATGTCATCATGCTAATATGCAGATCACATCGCTTGTTAAAGTAGAACTCTGCTTTATTCATTGTATCTATTAAAAAGGCATCGATTTGGGTCTCTTAATCATCCAATCTTTACTCTTTACCGCAATTATGTTTCAGGGCGTGTCTACGGCGAGAGAGCTTTACGAGGTTCTGAGCCATCGCGGGTGGCTAGAGCTGTTCCCGCTATTCGCGACGGTGCACGAGATAAGCACCGGGCGTCTCCCGCCATCGGCCATCGTCGAATACAGTGAGCACAAGCCTAACTTTTCCCTGCTACAAGGCTCTGCTCAGTATTACTGACTCTTCCCAGGCAGTAATTTGGTTAAATCACATGCAGATAGATGATATATCAAAGAGAGAGAGAGAATCCATGAGCATCACATCTTAGGAAAAAGGCTTCAGCTTCTGCTGAAGGCACAGATGATGATATATGAAGAAAATAACTACTGTGTACTATTTTACTTCTTCTTTTTTCCATTTTTTGACCCTTTCTGGGATAATCCTCTTCAATGCAAAATGCATTACACATGATACAACAAGGAGAAAAGAAAGTGGAATACAAATTGCAGTGAGTTATCAGTTGAAATCTTCCTTTTGAGCACCCATCTTTCCATTATTGTTAATCTGCTGCAATACCTATTCCTGTTCTCTATCTGTCACCATTCCAAAGCTTATATGCTGCTGTTTTACTCACTATGAAAGCCATCAGCAGAACTTCATCTAAAGCGCAATGTAAATGCTTTTTGATTAGATATGGGTGTGGTGATGCTGACTAATCGAAGCATTAGGTTCCTTAATGCCTGTCATTGTTGTATTTTGATCCATCGATCTTTCAACTCCCAAAGCAAGTTTCCCTAACAGTTAGATTTCTCTGTGGACTGATGACCAAATATGTGTTTATTTCGCTAAGAATGAATGATCTGAAAATATTTTTTCTAAAAATAATTACTAGTATCGCTTAAAAAATGAGCGAATGAAAAGAAATTTTCATCATCTGCAAAAATATTTAGACATAAGTTGTTGTCGATAATGAAACATTTTTTATTAATTAATTATTTCAAGTGATACAGGCAAAAATTTTTAAGAAAATGTTTTTCAAATTTTTTATTTTTCGCAAAACAAACAAAGCCTAAGTTATCTCTTCAACTTACTCCGTTTGGACTCTCATTTTTGCTCTATCGATGCCAAAATAGTTTATTACAAGGACCTAAAATAGTTATACTTGGCAAAAGTGCGACCCGTCAACCCATAATTTTTGCCCACCTCCCTATGAATTGGAAAAATTATCGCATGCACCAAACGTATCCAAAGCATTCAATTTTCAACTAACCACGGATTCAACGGTTCAAATGATTATTCAAGCCATAGTGGTTTGGAGTGCGATGCATTAGGATTAAATTGATAGATATTGACAGATACGTTGATTGTTTGGAGCAACGGTGATAAACTTATTGCCTTAATATCTGTTGAAGGGGATCGATTGGCTCTGAAATACGCATTGGATGGTTTTTCAAGTTTTAAAATTTATTGAGGCTATATTTTTCTAGCATCTGTTATCTTTCATTGCTAATTTTAGTGGCTTCAAAATATTTTTCTAATTTACCAATGTTCATTTTGAAAATCGATTTCCATGTTTACGTACTGATATACTCGATATCTTTGTAACTTATCAAAATATCAACTTTGAAACCATATAGCTGAGTCATTTGTCACTCATTAATTTGTACACACCTCTCTTCATTTTTCACCAATTATTTTAACCTAAATGCTCTTAGTTGGTGGCATTGAACTTAACCTACCAATAATATCATGCATTTCATCACCTCTTTTAACTTTGGCCCATTAATACTCTTAATAAACTTGAGCCCACATTCATACATCAAATATCTCCTTTCAGCTACTCATGTTAAGGCACTTGTAGCTTTTAGGTTGGAACACTTATCTCTCTTTTTCCATAAGTATTTTTAACCCAATGTCATCATTATTTTAACCTTAGTTATTCGATCTTATCTCTTGATATAGGTTTGAAGTAAAAACATAGAAAGCCTCTAAGATTTTTTTCAACCACCTTTTGTAATTCTTGAATTTCCACTTTGAATTTTGCTTATTTTCTCTACGTGTTTTTCCCGGTTCTCCACGTAAATCAGCGGATTCTTTTATTCTTCTCAATTTTAATTTCGTTGTAGTTTTCGTATCCGTCGTAACATTTTAATTGACTAATTATTTCGAACGACGTCAAACGAAACATATATAGTAATTTAAAGTTTGATGGAAAACTTTTATTACCCCCAAAGTTCGGGGCCAAATTCCCTAAAAAACCCCAAACTTTAGCCTTAGTCCCAATTATATCCCAAACTTTTTTTTGTCTCATAAAAAACCCCAAACTTTTACTTTTGTCCCAAATCTACCCCGTTTACTATTCATCTAATTTTTTAATATTATTTTTTCGAATTTTTTCTTTTCTTTTCTTTTCTTTTTTCACCCTCAACCTCGGCGGTCGCCGGTCCCGGCTCCGGCCAGAGGCAGGCGAAGGGCCCGCCGGCAGGTCGGCCTCGCCGCTTCGGGCGAGCCGAGCCTCGCACGTGGCAGTCGGCCTCGCCGTTCTTGCAGGCGAGGCCAGAGCCTCGCGGCATTGCGAGTCGGCCTCGCGTTCTTTGCAGGCCGAGCTGGCCACCTCGCAGGCCGCTCGGCCCTCGGCGGGGCCGAGCCTCGCCGATCGGCGAGGCTCGGCCATGCGGCCGAGCCTCGTGGGCGACGAGGCTCGCCGTGGCGCCGCAACCGGCAGGCTGAGCGGGCGAGGCCTCGCCGGGGCCAGCGGCGGGCCGAGCCTCGCCAGATCTCGGGCGAGGCTCGGCCTCGCCGGCCGCCGAGCAGGTCGGCCTCGCCAAAGAACTGCGAGGCCGGAGCCTGCCAAGGGCGGGGGCCGACCTCGCGCGCCCTCGCCTCGGCGGTCGCGGGCCGGCGACCACGGAGGTTGAGGGTGAAAAAAAAAAAAAAGAAAAGAAAAAGAAAAAAATTCGAAAAATAATATTAAAAAATTAGATGAATAGTAAACGGTAGATTTGGGACAAAAGTAAAAGTTTGGGGTTTTTTATGAGACAAAAAAAAGTTTGGGATATAATTGAGATAAAGGTTAAAGTTTGGGGTTTTTTATGGAATTGGGCCCAAAGTTCGGTGGAATTATATATAATTTTTTTTTTCTAAAAAGGAATATATAAATGGAAAAAATAGGCCACCATCACAAATTCACCAAAAGGGAATAAATAAATAAATAAATAAATAACAAACAAACGCTTTCTTCGTTGGCGGTAATCCATGGCTGTCTCTCTGCGGTCGCAAAAATCGGGAAGAGAGTGAGTCGACTCGTTCCCGAGCTCGAACTCCGCCCCCTTGCATGCGGCCTCCGCGGTCGCCGGTTCATCTTCCCGAACTCGAAGCTCGCCGCCCCGACGGTGGACTGACGGACGGACGGACCGGCGAGGCACGTCTCGGCGAGGCGATTCGAGCCAATCTCTCTCTTCGGTTCGTCCCTCTTCCTTTCTGCTATTTCGGGAGCGCCGCTGGATTCTTTGTGTCGGGACCGGTGTCTGATTTTCGCGGGGCTCGGCTTTGGTTCGATCCGAATCGGTTTGAATCGAGCGCGAAAAGAGGGGAAAGGAAAACGGTAGCTTTGCATTGAATTCTGTCGATAATGCTGAAGGGAATGCATCTTGATGAGTCGAATCTTTTGTCCGTTTGTTGTCCGCGCGCGGCTTGTCTGTCGCGGCGGCTGCCGTACGTGCAGCGACGGGACCTTTTGGTATCTAGGCGAGCATAGAATACGAGGGTTGGCTTTTGTTTTTCGATTCGGTGATCGTTTAGGTTTTTTTTCCTCTTTTTTTTTTTCTTGCTAATGAAGTTAGCTAGTCTGATCTCACTTGAATTGTTTCTGTGGGGGGATGGGTTGTGCCTTGCGAGGTGCAGTGGTGCTTCTTCTTGAAGTTGTTATGGCTTCGATTGATCCGAAGGAGGGGAATAAAGAGGGGCCGGATGTTTTCGGTTTTTATTCTCGCGGAGTAGCCGAGTGGCTATGTGGGGAGGATGATTTTCTGCCCTTCGCCGAACCAGGAGAAGTTGCGGACAAGGACGCGGGTACCTCTGGTTGTGATGGCATAAAGGGTGATGGTTTCTCTACTTCCAGTGCATTGTTTGATGATGGACTAGCCCCCGGTTTTTCGGATACAAGGAGAGAGAGGCTGAAGTCGTTTCTTAGGCGGGCCGCGTTTGAGCTTAGTCTCGAAGTTGACAAGGTATATCTGGTTTCCTTTTCTGTCCCCTGAGAATGCGAGTGAGTAACGCAACAAAATCAGCTTCTGGTTCTCCCTGCATTGGGTGTATGTGGGGCAATTCATGGTGTTGATTATGCCAACATGAATGTGCCATTGGATAGCCTAGATAATGTAGTGATCTGATACTCTTTGAAGCACAGTAATGAAGCTTTGGCGTTTGCATTGGAAGCATGTTGCTTATGGCTTTCGGCAGCAGTCATTGTTGCTCTTGTCTAATCTCTTTTTTCTTGAATATGTTGCGCTCCATGGAAAGAGTAGGATGAGCCAGTGATGCTGTTTGCTTAACCGATACTATTTAGCAAGTCCACAACTGAGTGACATTTCCAAATTTGTGTATGGACAGACAAATTCAAGATCCGAATTTCAATGATTTAGATTATATGTTTCCACCTCCATTTGTGGATGTCCTTATGCTGTCCGTCTATAATAGCGCTTCTTTCTCCCCCTTTTCCTCTCTTCCGCTGGCGGCTTGCAGTGTAGAAAGGCATGTAAGTCGATTCTGGTGCTCTGTTGGAAGGGAGGAACTTGTGTTAAGCGAGAACGAGTTCTAAATACTGCATCTCAACGAGAAGTTTGATTGCCTTTGGCCAGTCGATCCGCTCAAGTATCTGCTGAGTTAATAACACAGCGGACCCTGTCGGCAAAAGCTTTTTAAAAATTTCTAAGTCACACCCATGTTTTGAAATTATTCATTTATAGAAAGGATCCTCTAGATTTCCTGACTCCCTACCCCTACCTTCATTACCAGACATAATGCATTTATTTGCTCTTTTGTGCGTGGGAAATGTTTTTTCCTTGCTCCTTGTTTCTTTGCATAAAGAAACATGTTTTGAGTCTTTCAACTACCTGGATTAAGTCCTGTGGAGTGTTGAGTTAGATGAATAGTACATCATAGCTCTAATTTGGACTTGGAAAATTCTTTGCTTATTGATTCAGATGCATGAACCAGTGTTGAAGCTGCATCAGTTACAAACACGGCTGAGAAGCAGCAGGCAACAACCCACTTGCTCGGCTGCCTCATCTGATGGTGATGTAGGGGAACACCCCCCTAAGAAGATTAAGATATCCTCTTCCTCTTCCTCAGCGAGCATTTCTGGACATGAGAATCCTGTTCGACTTCAGCCAAGTGATGATGTATTTATTCCCCTGGTTTCTTCCTTTCTTCTCTTGCTTTCATATCCAGAATAAGAAAATCTAACCAATTCTCATACGTGGACATTGTTCTGTTCTGTGTCCTAATCCGACACAGGGTTCGGCTGGTAAAAACACCCGATTAAAATTCTCTCAAATGGATTTGGTAGAAAAGCCAAAAGATAGTGCTGTTGAGACAAGGTCTGCTCCATGCCAAAGTCCACAAATGTCCAAGGTCCAATTACTTTCTATCTTGTAATTTTTCCTAGTATGAAATGTTTTTCCATTTTATGAATCTTTCTTGTGTTTCCTCTTTTTCAGTCTCTGTACAACAATTATAGATCTAAAAGTGAAGGGGCCACAGCACCTCTTTTGGGTTCAAACGAGGCAGCCAACAATGATGACAGAGATGTAAGGCATTCTTTCCTTAATCTTATCATTCTATGTCGATAACAATCTCATATTGATCATATACATGCATCAGTCCATGGAAATGGAGAATAGCTCCCCTTTCCTGCAACAAAACTCCTCCCTCACCTCGTCGTCCTCCTCCTCCTCCTCTCCTTGTTAGGAAATTCATTGTCGTTAAGGAGAATTTAGTTTTATACTTGTCGAAGAAAGAATATCTACAGTAAAAAGGTGACATGATGTTTGGTACGCTAAGAAATCTTTTATCATATGCCTGCTTGTTCATGAGGAATTTATTAGAGACTTCATTTAAGCTAATACTTCCTTTAGGTCAATGCTGATCTGCAATTTTTGCTGAGAAGTGACCATTCACGTCTTGACCAGATGCTGAAGAAATACACTGATGAACACTCTAGTAAAGTAATCTTCTGAAACTCATTCTCTCTCTAGTGTGAATTCTCTGTATTTACAAGCTGTTGTCAAGGACAATCAATTTACATCATCAGTTTGATGCTGGCTCTTATGCTGGAGTGCGTGGTGACATAAGAGGTTTACTCTTTTGGTGAATGTTCATAGCTGGAGTATATGGGAAAGCAGCTCGAAGAACTTCTTGATACGGCTGTGTCCAAATGCAGGCAAGTGCAATTATATTTGCATAGACTTAATCGGTAGATTATGAACTGTAATTGCTATAAGAAATGTTTCATTAAGTTTTCAAAATGTTGTGCATCAAGAACTAGCATGAAGGAGTAGGTGGGCCTAAGGTGGAGTAGCTCCTCCCTTGCCTGCCAGATATTCACAAAAGTCCTCTTTGTAATTAAGTTTCACACTTCCTAAGCAGACAGTCTCTCACTTTCACCTTGTAAAATTATAGACGGTTCTTGTCTTCTTCCTCCACTCTATTCTTCTCTTCCGTTTTTCATCCTCAAGTTTGGGATAGGTGCTCATGACAGCACATCAATAAGGAGGGTAAAACGGAGGATGAGGTTATCTTTGTTTGATAGTGTCTGTTGGTCTTAAAAGTGTAGTATTATCGATACCGACTTATGTGATGGTAGTGTATTTTGATATTTTCAAACTGAAGAGTGGCTGAATGAATTTTTATACTTGCTTTGATTGCTTATTTGAAGTTTTTCCAAGGTGGCCTCTAACTGGGGGTACTGGAAATGCCATTTTCAGGTCAATGACCCGTAGAGAAAAGATACAGCTTCAGAAACTAATTCAGAACCTACCGCAAGACAATCTTGAACGAGTGGTGGGAATCCTCGGACGTAGCGATAGTTCGAAAACCAATCTCCATGATGATATTACTGTCGACCTAGAAAAGGAGGTAAGACAGGTCATGCGATGTAAGTATGTCCAAGAATAATGGATATAGGCCTCTCGCCATGCTAATACGAAAACGGTCCATTTCCAGGACAACGGGACGCTCTGGAGATTATACTACTATGTTCGAGCAGTGGAAAAGGCGAGAAAACTTTCAGCCATTCAAGACACGCAAATTGACTCGAATGCGAAGGAGATGTGAGCAGCACTGCTCTTCTCAAGTTTGGGTCCTTCATTCAAAGATATGCCACTCATCGCACAAAGTTACAGAGGAAAAAGAGGCTCTTGTGAATAACATTTTGCCTATTTGGTGGTCTCTTTTTCTGTTTTCGTTTTTCCTTGAGATAGAGCCAAATTAGTGATAGTCGTTTTGGGAGCTTTCTACGGAAACCTCTCATGGTGTAAAAAAAAGCTTTTTACATCGTGAACGGGTTTGGTCGGGGGCGATCCCCCCGTGCAGTATTACCATCGCCAATTGTAGAGTCCGGTATAGATTTCGATACTGAATCACGAATTACTGGAACAATGCTTCAATCTTTGAGTTTGATTCAAAGGAATTACTGTAATCATACCGGGTCCATACGTTGCATGATGCGGCATGAAGAGCAATGTCTTTGAGCATATCTTAAAGGACTTTACCTCGAGACCGAGCAATGCTCGCTCACCGAACTGTACGAACGAATCGATATATCAAATGACGAGACGTGGTTTTAAATGGGCGTTCTAACTCAGTAGCGGGCGCGATACTTTTACTTGTCGGGAGCGTGGGTGATGCGAGGTTAGGATGGATCCAAATTGCGCACGTGTTTTTTTTCACGATATGGGAATGAACGCTCAAGCTCTCTGATCCTTTGAAGACCTGCAATGCAAAGTGATTGGCTGGGCGTAAGATCAGGACAAGAAAAAAGAGGTAGTAAAATAAAATGATGAAGGAGAACAACGATGTCTGGGTGGTGTAGTCGGTTATCACGCTAGTCTCACACACTAGAGGTCCCCGGTTCGAACCCGGGCTCAGACACTTTCTCCTTCTTTTTCTCTCTTTTTTGTCTGTTTTTTTTTTCTTCCCCTTTTTGGACATATAAAAAAATACATAATATAGCGTAAAATGAGAATTGCTCCGGTCGAAACGCATCGTTTCGTGTCGTTCAGGTCGCCTTCCCTTTCCCCCATACATCTCTCGCGCGGACCTCTGTGCGTGTGCGCGTCTCTCTCTCTTCTCCGATCGACTCGCGCTCGGCATCGAGGTCGTTTTGCTGCTTTGCTCTCTCGCTGCAAGTTCCACCCCTCGAGTCTCTCTCGCCATCTCTTTCACGCCACTTCGCTTGCGGCGATCTGTGCTCTCTCACCGGGTAATGATACTCGAACTTCCTCATTCTCTCTCTCTCTCTCTCTCTCTCTCTCTCTAAGTACGTAGATGCGCGTTCGCGGCATAATCGATGGTGGCCTAAGGGATGGGGGAGCTGAAAGTTTCGCCCATCTCGCGGTTGATAGCCGGAAGGGGTTGGTTTTTCCTTCTTCCGAGTGATTTGGGTCTTCGAAAAAGTGTGGAATTCGATCGGTGGTAGGGCGGACCGCGAGAGCGTGAGCTGACTAAGAGGCGGCGGCTGTGTTCATTGTCGGACGTGATTGGCGGATGGGGTTCCGATTTTGTACAGGGGAAAAAGGTTGGAGCTTAGGGCTTGGCGAATTTGGGAGATTCGTTAGGTGATAGTCGAGTCATCAAGTCGGGATAAATGATTTCGGTAGCTAAGTGGCTCGGTTTCGTGTCGATTGTAGAGTGGAAGGGACTCTTTTAGGGGGAATGGTTGAAAGAATCTTCCAAATTTCCTTGCATGATGCAGTGTGTCTGAATTTCATACGCTGCATTACTGTTTTATTAGGATCCCCTATCTGTGTGGGATGACGAGAAACCCCAATAGGTGGGTTGCTCTCTGTATGAAATTGTTTATCCACTTCATAATGATCTTAGACTGGAAGCTCTTTAAATGTCTTGTTTAACGCAGTAATCAGGATATTGTTGGGCACATTATCAGATGTCTTCGCTTGTGGTGTTTCTTTGTAATGAATCCAGTTTGCCAAAAATATCATGAGGTTTGAGGCCCCTTCTGTAATGTACTTTTGAATATCTATCTGCAGGTTTGTTGGAATCGAGAATGTCTAAAGCAACGGTAGATCTTCCTCCCAAGGGTGGATTTAGCTTTGATCTTTGCAGAAGAAATGACATGCTTGCAAAGATGGGGGCTAAGCCACCTTCGTATCGGAAGACAGGAACCACCATTGTTGGTTTAATATTCCAGGTACGACCACGCAAAGTCTGACCAACTGAGAATGTTGTAAGCTTTTTAAATATTGGGTCACCTAAATATCTAGCCGGAACATTGGCCAGCTATATAGCTTGCTTGTTCCATCTTATTGTTCGTTGCCATTATTGTTAGCCAAACCTTGAGAATTGGTATGGTTAGTGAACTTTATGTGCATGTGGCGTGTGTGCCCTCTGGGAACATGCACTACGGTTTTGTCTGATGGGGGTTTTGTTGATTTGATAGAAGTATTTTGACGGGATAATACTGTCAGCTAAAGCTACCAAGTTTCTTGTAGGATGGTGTGATTCTTGGAGCAGATACAAGAGCAACTGAAGGACCCATTGTTTGTGATAAGAATTGCGAGAAAATTCATTACATGGCTCCAAATATTTATTGCTGTGGGGCGGGGACAGCTGCCGACACAGAGGCTGTAACGGGTATATATATATATATAGACCAAACTTTAAATCTGATTGTAGTACTTGCTTGCTCTGGTTCTCTTTCCTCTTCCCTCTGTTGTGGACTTCTCGTCTTCTTAGCTAATGCACGGCTATTTGATGTCTTATTCTTTCCAGATATGGTAAGTTCACAGCTGCAGTTACACCGGTACCATACAGGTCGAGAATCAAGGGTCGTCACAGCTCTGACACTTCTTAAGAGGCATCTTTTCAGGTAATATGATAATGCAACGTGGCTGTCTCTTCTCTCTTTGGTGTGCATGATTCTGATTGGTACAGTGGTACAAATTTTATTCAGCTACCAGGGGCATGTCCAAGCTGCTTTGGTCCTTGGTGGGGTTGATGTCACTGGACCTCATCTTCATACAGTGAGTTTTTTTTTAAGGAAACCTGCTACGATGAAATTGTTCTGTCCCTTTATGGCGGTTTGATTGTGAGTGGTTTCAATTGTTAATCTCCAGATATATCCCCATGGATCAACTGATACATTGCCATTTGCTACCATGGGTTCTGGTTCTCTTGCTGCAATGTCGGTTTTTGAGTCAAAGTACAGAGAAGGCCTGACAGTAAGTTGGCTTGTCGTTATATCTTTCCTTTAATTTATAATTGCGCCGTTGTCTTACTGTCTAATTCTGTAATAGAATTATCGTGTTTTTATACGTAAATTATATAATTGGTAGTGGCCTTATCGGCGAAAGTGGTGTTACTGTTTTTCTATATATTCTTAAATTGGCTTGAATAGCTAGTATTTAGGGGACAAAGGTGTGAGTGTTAAGTGATAGCGGTGCTCACTAGCTGATTAGTTTCCTGTGATTAATGATGTCTGGAACTTCTTGCTTGTTGATATGTATGCTCGATGAACATTAGGAGCGCAAATTTCTTACAACTTCAGCTTTTGGGAAAAAAAAACTGTTATTGAATACCATATTGGAGTTCCAGATTTAAGGTTCTGGTCTTGGCAATCCCTCTTGTTCTCATTATAGCTACTTCTCTTTGTTCTCCATTTGTTCTTTGATGTGGTTACTTGCGCATGCATGTTCCATGTGTAAGGTCCAACTTACACACTACGGGAGTTTTAAAAGTATATGCTTCATATTCATAGTGGACGAATTTCTTGACAGTTTAATCTTTCATGAAAAAAAGTTGTCTAGCATTGTTCACTTCTTGTCAGACAAATTAAGATTGTATTCGCCTGAAATAGATCAGGAACTATAATGGCTTTTAGTTTGTGCATGGCACATCATTTGAAAGCTTGACTTCCGATAATTTACGGTCTAGATGATTTGATGTGTTTCTAGAGAAAGCCATTTTGAAAAGCCAAGTTAGATCTTGTATTTTGTGTAACTTTTGTTGAGATGTTTTGAACTTCTTATGGATTATGTTATATTTTACTCCAGAGAGATGAAGGAATTCAACTGGTAGCTGAAGCTATATGTTCTGGTATATTCAATGACTTGGGAAGTGGAAGCAATGTGGATATTTGTGTGATAACAAAGGTTTGTTGTTACTCACCAATGTCTATTTATCTCTTTGAACTTTAGTTTGCCCTCCCATGTTGACCAACCAATCTCCACTTTTGGCATGGTGCAGGGGCAGAAAGAGTACCTCAGGAACTACTTGTCGCCAAATCCTCGGACATATATTAGTGAAAAGGGATATCCTTTTCCTAAAAAGATTGGTCAGTGTTATTTTCCCCTCACTCTATTCACTGTTCTACCAAGCTTATCTCGAAGTGGTTCTACAGTTTAAACAGCCTTTTCAGAGGATAATTATGTCTTTTCAGCTTGAGTTTGTCTCTCAAGTTTGTTTAAGCCAATTAAAAGCTTTGACCTCTGGACCTTTGGTCCATTTATTCGAGTAGGGATGGAGTCTAGGGTTCAAACCAATAACCCAATCCTCAACGCACACATGCATGACTGTGTGCACATAAAGAAAGGATAAAACTCAAAAAGAAAAACAAGAAGAAGCTTGGTTCACAATCTTTCTTCATCCATTAGGCAAAATAATTGCATAGTTGGTGTAACCAATGTTGCATTGTCTGATTTTGTTGGTGATTCATGCTTGCAGAAGTTCTCCTGGCGAAGATCACTCCACTGAAGGAGAAGGTGGTAATAATAGAAGCGGGAGATGCTATGGAAGAGTAAAGTCGTCTAAAGGGGAAGGCAAAGTTATCTGGCTTAGTTTCTGCAACAAACATTATGGATTATCTTTGAGGTTGGTGGAGCCTTGAGACTTTTGGGATGAGAAACAAGATGAATTTGTGTCAAATTGCTACTTTGGCCGTGCTCAATATGTATTCGTGGATGTTTGATGATAAAGTAACTGGAAACCTACGTGGCTCCGATTGCTTTGCTTGTGTTTTTGCATGAAATAGTACTTCGCCAGCAGCAGCATCATCGTTGTCGTCGTTATTATGCATAAGGTGTTTAGTTCGTGGAAGGCATATCGAGGATGGAATCACGTGAACATGGAGTTTTGGTGCCTCTATCTGTTGAACATAAAGGCCATTGCAACGCTCATGCATTTGCTTTTGGAATGCTTGCGAAATCTTTGCATGTCGTTTTTCAAAGCTTATGGCAGAATGTCTAAGCATTTAACTTCAAGAAGCTGGAAATCATCAGTATTAGAATGCTACAGTCCGAGCACATTATCTGGCGCTTCTCACACGTGAGCACCGCGAGAGCTCGATCTTTTTGCCTGGTTAACTTAATGCAAGCCTAGGGGGTCGTTTCATTCTTCCTCTTTGGATGGGCTCCCCGATGTCGATGACAATGACTGCTGATACATGTGAATGGTGGTTTAAAGAGAGCAATATTTGCAATGACTGAGTGCACATGAGCTCACATCATCCAACGGCTTACATGCGCTCGAGATTCAAGAACGCCGAACAAAACTCCTCACTAGCACCATTTTGAAAGATCAAAATCCGAAAAAAAAAAGACTTGGTGCTACCGTATGCAATGTAACATAAAGATCATATTATGTAAGGCTATAGTGCTCCCAACAGCTACGCCACACCGGTACATGAGCTCTTAGTTGGAGAAATTAAAAAACAGGGGCTTTAATTAGTGGATCTCAACTGGCAAATGCAACTTGAACCTTCAACAGATACCAGGACAGCCTATGGCTGTTAATGCATCCAATCTCACCAATGAGGTGCTCAGCCTTACTCCTGGAGATATCCTTCGCTACATAGATCTCTGGATTCTTCATCTCGCTAGCGATCAGGAGCGTGACCGGGAGAGGTTCCAGTAAATGGGTCAAGGTCGTGCAGGTCTAGGCCCAGGTCCAAATCTTAGGCGAAGATTGTCATAAACCTTGGAGACTGCGAACAGACGAGGATCGTCTTCAGGAATCTCGCGATCCTAAGACAGGCCAAAGTCAAAACCAGGTGTCATTGCTGAAGGCTTACTAGTAAAATACGAGGCATTTCTTCAAAGAAACATGAAATGCAATGGAATTCCTTTGCAAGCACCAAGTAGACGTAGGAGCTGTGAAATGACAACTAAAAAAGTCTATATGATCAATGGCTCAAACAGACTTAGGGTGACTTAGGGTGCGCATGAATACCATTCTGTGCCCGGGAACTATTTCTAAACAGAAATGATTTTTTTTTATTCTGTGCCCGGAAACAATTTCTGAGTATTTGAAGGCGTTTGATAAACTGACCAAAATTTCTATTCCTAGAGTAGAAAAGAACAGAAATGCGTTTGGTAACTACACAAAATTTCTGTTCCCAAATAATATTTTGAATTGTTTAATTTTTTTTTCTTTCTACCCATTTTCTTCTTTGGCCATGCGACCGGCCACAGCCCAGGGCCGGCGAGGGCATCACGGCCCTCGCCGGAGGGCGAGGGCTGGACCCTCGCCTCCGCCGGCGGCCGACGAGGGCCGTGACGCCCTCGCCGGCCACGGGGTGGGCCGCCGCACGCCGCCAACAGGGAAGAACAACACAAAAATAAGAAAAGAAAAAAAGAAAAAGAAGAAAAAAACTGATTCTCAAAATTGTGCAGAAACAAGAAGCAACTTTTTTACTTCTTGTTTCTCTTCCAAAACTGTTTCTCGGCACAAATTTTTGCAAAAATGTGCCCGGGAACAAAAAGTTTACCAAACGCATTTCTGTTCCCAAACTATTTCTGGGAACAAAAGAACAGAAATTTTCACTGTTTGGCACGTTGCCAAACGGGCCCTTAGCATTCTGCAGATTGATTTCTGGTCTAAGCACAGAACCCAGTACGCTTCAATCTTTGATATCGCAGGCAAGATTTTGCTGTGGCAGGATGAGATTAGATTCACATATTCCGCTGAATTCCAGTAAATTGCATCCAATCTAGGCTAGCTCATCATCAGCTCCAAGTTCATATCCTAAAGGAAAACACTCCCTCCTATAAAGAAATGTAACTAACACGAGGCAACGAATTCTTCCTGCTAAAAAAGACGAATGTTCTTTCTGGAGGACCCAGTCAATTTCACGATTTTTAGTGACGTACCACTTAAATCTGGCTTACTTTGGCACGGCCATAGACATGTAAATTAAACAATCGGCAACAGCTTTCAAGTAAATCTGGTAATCAGGTGCAATTGAGAGGATCTGTACCAATGACACTAGAACACGCAGCATCTTGTTATATTCTTTAACAAATTTTTCATTCCAAAACCAAAGATCTCCTTTAGTTCATGGACATTCTTTCATGAAGCTATTTGATTGACAATCTAAAATGCTCAAGTCAAACTCCCCCAAAAGCTCATGTGGTAATAAGAAGTTATGCATTTAGTTAGATCGTAAGGATCACAACATCTTTAAGGCAGAGAACTCACTTTTAAGCCCTTGTAATAAGCTTCTACAGCAGGAAATGGAGGAGTCAATTTTCGAGCTTGCATCATGTCCCACAAAAAGTTGGCAGTAGTGTAACCACCATCCTGCAGAAATGTTAAAGACTACCATAATCCTGTTCAACTTAGAAGAAACAAACATGCATCCAAAAAAAGAAGAAAGAAGAAAGAAACACAATTTTCCAACTACATTCCAATAAAGCTGGGCCAGACGAAAACAGTCTTCCTCTTTCCAAGCAACTTAATAGGAAAAAGGAGATTAAATGCCAACCTTTTCTCCAGCAGCAACAAGAAGGAGATCACTTCCCATTTTGGGACTCAAGAAAAAGTTTCTTGAATTCATTTGTTCCTGCGTAGTGACATCATAAAGCTGTAAGGACAAACAAAGACAATGACCAAACACAAGAAGTCAATTAGAAACTATGCCACCTCATCTTACCAGCGTCTCTTGAGCAAGTTGCATTCCCCTTGGTGTATACCCAGTCATGGCTCCTTCCACTAGTGTCTGCAAAATATATACAGGCATAATGATTAACCACACCATCTACACCTTTTGGAAAGTCAATGACAATTTAAAAGAAAGCAAAGTTCCTAAAAAAGATCAGTGAAGACATAAGATTGTACAGACTCAAACTTAACTTCAGATTAGCAAACTCAAGCGATACAACAAAGCTAGAATTAGCAGTTAGATAAAGCTTTATTGAGCTCACCACATAAAGTTCCACATTAGGAAACTTTCCGGATTTAATATAATCTTCGAAAACTTTATGACCACGATCAATGTCTCCAGAATGAAGGTAACACCTGATAAAATAAATTAACAGCGAAATACAATATTTATGAATACACAAGTTGAAATAAACACCATGAATGTCCAATGTAGTATAATATAAAACCCGCCAAAACTAGATAAACCAATGCATAAATACCTCATAATTTGCAACAAAGTGAATACATCTGGAGTTTTCCCATCCTTTCGCAGCATCTCCAAAAGAGTTTCCATCGCCTATCACAATGAAATTCGGGTAAAAAGATGGAAATAAGAACGGCAACTTAAGAAGACAGAACACTAAAGAGCTAATCCACAAGTTGAAACAAATTTTGATTCCAACGTACTTAATAAAAAGGTACCTAACTCACCAATAAGACCACGCAAAATGAGGAAACGCATTATATTATATCAAGACTGTCAATTGAAATATTATGATCAGTAGATAAGTGTGAGGTATTGATCGAATTTTAAATAAGGTAAATAAGGATCTGAGTACTATGAAGATTGTCTCTTTCTGCTCTGTGAATTGAGGCTCTATGAATTTGCATCAAGTCATGTCAGGGAAGATGTATAGCCCTTAGCATCTTCTATTTTCCTCTCTCTTGAGATTCCTAAAATCTTAACGACGACTTTCATCTCCATTATCTATAGATCCAAATATACCAACACTAAATAAACAACAATGACTAAACCCACTGAAAGAGAGCCCAAAAATGTCATATCAAGAGTCTTCTCATTCAACAAAACAAAGAAGTATAAAAAAGAGCAGTTCATACACAAGGCAGTCAGCTTCTTTATGAGACTTAATCAAATGAACAGAGAAGTCTACCTCCACATTCCGTAGATCCGCAAAGGCATGAAATGCAACATGATAAACCGTAAATTGCCGAATCACAAATCCTCCACGCCTGTGAACATACTCGGCAGTTGGTAAGTTGTATAATTCTTCTTCTGAAACACCAATCATCACATTTTCTGCTACATTATTCGATGCTTCAACTGAAGACCACCCTTTAGATTGCTCAACAAGCTCGAGGATCTATTTTGCAGAGAAGTGATGTCAGAAACCTTCAAAAAATAACAGAACGCCCACGTATATAAATGAGAATATTATAAATAATAATTACTTTGGCAGCTGTGTCATCCGCTAATGGCGTCTTGTTCTTGTGCGCAGTTATTAGTCCAGCATAACAGAACTTGTTCAAACCAGCTCCCGCTGCAGTCATATCACGAACAATTGCGTAACTGCACAAATGGTAATAAATTGTTATGTTCTTCATTCAGATAGCTTTACTTGGGAAGAACTTTAAGAGGTAATAGGCTCAAATCATAGAAAACAACTGGCTCAAGGCAACTTGTTTGAAGTTGAATTTTCTTTTGATCATCAAAATACCTTTTATCTATCCTTGTAAAGATAGACTATAAATTATTTGCCATTAATTTATCAGATTATTGACTAGACTTTTCCATTTGATCCCATGAAGTACATAAGCAGATCGCTGGGGCAGTCTTCAACCATACAAGCACAAACTTAAACAGTAAGACATCTTTGCAAGGTACTAAGGAAATCGTCTTATTAGAAAAGAGCTTTTTGTGATACATTTAGTCATTCATCAATTACCAAAAGAAGGGAGAAGTAGAGCAATGATCAATTACTTTTTCCAAGGAGAAAATATTAAAAGTTAGTACCATACACTCGATCTAATCTTCCTGCTGCTGCACATGCATTAAGCAGACACACATAAGTTTGTCCGTTTGGCTTCACTTCATATTTCTTCATTTCTTCCAAAATCTAAACCCAAAAGAACCACATAAAGACAAAGAAACTATTCAATTATAAGAAAGGGCCAAGTATCAAAGTCTCATGAGCACCACCATTTAGCCTCAGAAATATGGTAAATATATACCCTAATTGCTTGGTCTGAGTTTCTGCATTTTCCACACGTTGATATTAGAAAGTTGTACAAAGGCACCTACAACATTCAACCATCAAGAATAAGATGGTTAGATCAATCAACCTGGAATACTAATCTCAAACATTCCAAAAGTGAAAAATGACGATAAATATCACATTAAAGGAAGCCTTAACCCTAATTTTAGAAGCCTAACTCCCATAAAGGAGATATCAGCAAACTTAACGTGATATTTTCCCTATATTTCAGAAACATAACTCCCGTGAAGGTTATATTAGCAGACAAAACTCTATATGAGGGGCAAGAGTATGAAGTAGGATAGTTAAAGGGACACCCCTAAGGTTAAGGATCTCCTTTTTCATAGATAGATCTCCTATTTGACACATTTCCTTTGACCTCCTGTTAGAGACTTGAGTTCTACCACATTCTGCCGAGGTACATTTCTTCAAACTCAATGATGCTGATCAGCACATAGTTTGATAACAGTGAGTTATAGAAGATTCCTAAAAGAGGGAGTTTCCTCGCAATTTTGCTAAGGGGGGTGTATGTACGAAAAGTAGCTCAGTACATGCCTCTTCGAGGGTCAAGGCTCAAAAGACAGTTGCAAAAACTGGGGTGTCAGCAAAACTCGCCTAGATTACAGGGGATTGTCCGGTCAATTCATCCCGTAAGAAAAGTAACTTCTCCGAACACCAGGACAATTAAAAAAATATATTTGTAATAGCTGATACTCTTAAACAGAAAAATGCATCTCGCTAATCAAACAATCTGCCAAATTGACATCCAAAAAGATTGACGAGCAAAACTGAATTAGTGGATCCAATTTCCAACATCAGACTCTCTAATGATGGATTTACTCCCGAGTTTAAATTGAGGTATGCTTTTTCCCGCGATCCACCTAGGACTAAAGCCTTCTTGACATATTGATTAATTCTTTCATAATGTACTACCCAAGGATTGGAAGGAATCACCACATTCAACAATCCCACTCACTTTTCCCATTTTTTTTTGTTTTCTTGGTGAAAAGAACAAGAGATGTTACCCATATACGGACGATGATATACTACATGGCCACATAATTGCCATTAACAACAATCAACTTATATCCATGTCGAACTTAAGCAACCCAGAACTGTCTAGTCTAGATCCGATCCTGCCCATCTCCTATTTGCAAAGGCACTGATTGCAAGTTCCAAATAACAATTTTAGCGAAACGAAAGAGAACGGAGAAACAGAGAACATACATCAGGGACCAAGCCCATGGATTTCATTTCGTCCCTGAAGAAGAAAGCATCCTGCAACCGAGCACCTCTCATGGTCCCCACCATCAGCGAGTGGAACACGTCCCGCGTCGGCTGCACCCCGTCCAGCATCATGTCATCGTACACGTCCCTCAGCAACCCGTACCTACCCCGACGACCGACCGACCGACCGACGCGTAAATCGCTCCCACAGATTTCGGAAAACCTCGAGAGAAGAAGAGTAGAAAGGAGAGAGAGCTGGAGAGGCTAACCTCCTCTGAGCGGCGAGAGAGCCCAAGACGGTGCTGTACTCGGTGGCGTTCTTCGCGTAGTTCCTCTTCTCGAGCTCCGCCGCCGGAGCGGCGTAGTGGCGCCGCCCCACGGCGGCCCTGAGCAGCGGCGCCCTTTGCCCTGCATCGGGAAGCAAGAAGACGGACGCGAAGGGGAGCATCAGAGGCGAGCGAAGATCGAGCCGGAAGCAACTCTGAGAAGAGAAATGGAGGGGGGACCAGGGGGTGACCTGCGAGGGATCGGAGGAGCTTCAGCTTCATCATGGTCTCCTCAACAATGGCGGAGATTGGCTTTCTCGGAGTTGCAGGGGTCTCTGTGCTGTGCGCGTGTGGCTTAAACCCTTGCGATTTGGTAGGGGTGATGCGAGAGTGGGCTTGGGCCCGCTCTACTTGGGCTTGGGCCCTTGACGTGGCCTTTACATGGTTGTTGGGCCGCGGTAGTGAGATTTTGGGCCGGTCGTACAAGCCCATTGAAGATGTTGACCATCGAGAGCGCGCCCCGCGATAGGCGAATTCTTGCCTAAGACTCGAGCCACTGCTACAAAAATTCGAGAGATGTAAGCCGTGAGATATTTAAGGCCAGACGTGGGATCCGATCCACCGGGTCCGACGGCTCGGATCGCTCTATACGCTTGAGGATAAATGAAAGCGAGACCTGCCCATTGAATCCTCGCGGATCATTTTATATCGGAGAGAGCGAATGACATGATTTTTGAACCGGATCGATAAGGTGAATTCGAGTTGACGCGAGAAAGATAACACGGAATTGTAACCCATGTAGACCAACCACGATGCGAGCATTGCGAAAGAGACCGTCCTCCAGAAAGTCCTTTTAACCCGTGCAATGAGCTAATAGCTACAAGTTGACGACGAATCCAAAATAACGAGTCTTTTAGTTTCTATATTGGGCATGACGAGAACTTTTGTCTATGCAAACGAGTTATCAATCATAATCGTTGGATCATGTGAACTCCACGTAATAACCGCTTAATGAGATGTGTCCTCAGTATGCAAGACCTTTTTTTGCTTTACTTGCATTACATGGATCATTTACGATGTAAGAAAAAGAAGGCAACTTCAGCTAGTAGGCAGAGCAAAAGACCATTTGCAAGTAACTTGGGTCGAACTGAAACACAGAACAATTATCAGATACGACCAATGGATCAGATCATCCCAACTATACCGCCAATCTCACGACAAACCCGAGATTGACGGCAATTTCCTCTGCTGAGAGGCTATGTCTACATAATGAACATAGACAACATCTTATACTGGCAAACGAGGATTGAAGCACCAAACAAGTTTACATATCACCAGGCTCAAAAATCGTTCACTCGCCCTATGTGCCAGAAAAGCTTCAACAAACCACTGTAAATAAGTTCACAAACGTCTTTCTTCCATCAACAGTCTCTTCGCCCGATGCTGTTAGCAAACAATCGCGATAAAAAAAGAAACCAATAGAATTTACATTACGACAATGTACAGAGCAACAAATGACCTAAGGTATTAACAACTCCTTCCCTTTGAAGTAAGCATAAGATACCAAACAAAGAGAACCTAACATTTGAATCAACAAATGAAAGATGAATTCTGACTGACGGGAGACGAATCCTCACAAAAGCAAATTTGGCACCTAGTAGAGCTTTATTCTCGTTTGGATAGGGCTTCGGCAGATGGGACACGACTGAAGGTCTTCTCCACACTCGCAGCATGTCTGTCGCAACGGAAAGAATAGCCAAGGTTATTGACAACGGAACCTTTTCCACAACACAACCAATACACACCCAGCCCCAGAACCCACAAAAAAAAAGGGAAAAAGAACTGGAGATTAATAAGTGAAAAAGGTCGGAATAAACCCACCTGGTGACCACAACCGAAAGCCATGTCTTTTGGGCTGCTGAGGCAAATGGGGCAAATCTGCGCGCAATGCCATATAAAGAGTGAGTAATCTCGAGCAAGGTGGCAAGCAAAACCTCAAGTGAGATGAACAATGATGCATGTCTAGTGGCCACAAGAAGACTTGTAAAAAACTCCATGTTATGTACAAATCAATTCCCAATTAATAGAATCAAGCTTGCAAAGGTTTTCACATCCAAAGATCCACACAAGAGCTGTAAGCAACTTCATTGGAGATTTTTAGCAGTGAACTAATTAAAATCAAGTCACTGATCACTGTTTTTTATCTCATGTCAAAAGACAAAAAAGCACAAGTGATCACAGAAGAAGTTTCGAAGAAACAACAGTTGTTGCCTAACCCATGTTTTTAACGTACAACTAAATGCTGATCCTACTTACAATTCAGTTTCTAAGTCACCTGTTTCCCTCATATTTAATTAGGACAATCAGTCAGAAAGCTAAAATCAACTTTCGAAAATCAAGAACTGGCAGCTCTAAAAGAATTTGAAAATTTTATGCCATACTAAGTGAAGGTGAAGGTTGCCGCGAGTATTTATTTCTTTCCACATGAGAGGCCATTCGTTTATAACTAACAATTAACCTTAAAGGTATGTGAGAATGAGTCTAGACATTTTAATTTACATATTAATACCTGGTTATCATAAGTGGAAGTTGTGGCTGGAGGAGGAGCAGCAACATGTCCCCTATTTTCATAATAAGGCTCGACACTTGGTTCAAAATCCATCGGACGTGAAGTCTTTGGGTTACTGAAGGATGGGACACCACGTGGTGGAGGGAGAGCAACCCTCCGAGGTGCATTGCCTTTCCGACCGCTGCTCATCCATTGCCAAGAAAAAAAGAGTTGAAAATCACAACACATAGCAGGAGAATCTCCTATTTCAGGGATAGTCAACAAGTAAGTGAATCAACTGTTACCCCAATATATTAAGTTCAATGGTTGCTTTGTACTGAGAAGGAATTTCCATCAAGGCTGCCAGAGCAAATTCCGTTTCCTTCCTCGAGGGTGCCACATTCTTTGACATTATTTCGGTGAAGTTGACAAACTAAAGAAAGGGAAAAACCAGAAAATTCCCCATTAGTTACCTTGATTAACATACTAACTTGCCTGGAAGTTAACCTCATATCACTTGCCTGGAAGTTATCGAAGGCTCGAGATGGAATATTGTCATCAAATTCGTGCATCATGTCCCATGGCCCATCTCCAACCCCAACTAGAATAATAGAGAGAGGAAACTTGCTGCAACAAACAAGAATACGAGATCATATATGGTTGGAGAAGGAATAATTTAAAGGCAACATGTTTACCGCATGTACCTTGCTTCAACAATGGCTTCAAGAGTCTTCTGCTCCTGGGGACTTAGCCTGCCTCGGTCAGTATCAACACTTCTTGTCACCTGCAGAGAATCTAAATCTGGGTGAGAAGAGAAGTCATAAAGTTTGGGCTTGGCAACTCAAACTACATGTATTAGATTTTTTATTTTTTCCTTTTGGGTTGGGGGGATCATGTAATACACAACGAAAAATCATATAGAACAACTTTTGTAAGGCAATGCTTCCAAAATGAATTGTTCAATCAACATGGAATCACGAATGAAAGATTAAATTAAAATTAATATGGCTTCAGAGAACAAACAAAAAAAAGTAAAGGTGGCACAGTTGCTGCAATTTTAAGTGCTAATATCAGTGTTTACATCTTATTTGATGCCAAGGGATGAAAACCCTAAGGTCCTCATACCATATGTGGAATAGATTAGTTGAATGACCTTTCCATTGCAACCACAACTCTGGTGCAGATTGGTTCTCAATTTCCACAGAGTTTATTTCATCCCTCATTAAGACAAAAGAAAAAAAATAGCTCTCAGATGCACACCAGCATACAGAATGAAGGAACATCAGGAGTCTAAATTGATGACTACATACCTGTCCATCCGCAATTATCAGCAAAACGTGATATTGTCCAGCACTCTGCTCAACTATTGTCATGGCCATCTCAATGATAGGAGCAAAAGATGTTGGCCCTACCATACAGGAAGAAATAAGGTAAGCAGCATAGCATAATCATATCAAGCAATTTAATCGTGAAAATGCTGTGTACTATATGGAGGCAGTACACGCGTGTTTAAATATGTCCAGGCTTCAAGTGCAACAGACTCAGAGGGTACTCGGCGACATCAGAGTAAAGTGAAGAGCCAGAGAAAGGTAGAAGATACTATGAGGCGACAAGAACTATCAGCCTTACCTGCAAGCCTCAAATGAGGGACAATTTCTCTGTACCGGCTCAGAACTTCCTCAAACCCGTTGCAAAATCTTTCATCTGGGTAGAAGCTGAACACTTCTTGGTCATGTGTTGATGCTGATTACATAACAGAAGAACTAATTATCTTCCACAATTTAGACAAGCATGTCGAGGCGAGTAAAGGAAAGATGATTGACGGTGTACCATCTCCAAAACCATAACATGGAATCAAGTTATCCTCATCAAAAGCAGCCAAGGTTTTGCCAATAATTGATATTGCTTGCTCGTAGGGATTAAGACCATCTCCAATGTGATGCAAACTTCGTCTGTTGAATGACCTTGCCCCTGGTCACAAAACCACATTGTAGTGTTCAGCAATAATATGAAGTATACTGCCAAATGCTTGATCGTGTGTACAGGGACCGAGGTAAAGTGTAACCTGTCCATTCATTGCTCTTGGTGAAATCAATACCAACAATAAGATTGGAAGACTCCAGGCCAGCCCGTGCAAGTGCCTCTGTCACCTGAAGAAGTTTATCATTTGACATTATTTTCTATCAGAGCAGAAAAGTCAAAATCAAAAGTAAGATTGAAAGGAGAAATAACTATGAGGATTTCGCATGTATTCACAAATGAGACAAGATCGAAATCAACGTTCCAAACAGGCTATGTCCGCAATGTAATGGGACCACTGCCAATAAACAGGAAAAGCCTCTCCTCTTCGAGAAGACGAGCGAAATGAACCAGCTGACCAGCCAGCAAAGGTCAATTCTTTTGTTCAACCAAGAGTGCTGGACGGCGGCTGGGCGAGGCACGACCTCGCCAGATCACTTATGAGAAAGACATCTTAGAAAATTATTCAAATTACATCAGGCAGCATCGGATGAAACTGATGTCTTGTTCAAAAATTTGTCCCGGGGCATCCCATGAATTTAGAGCTGTGAACAGAAGAAAGTAGATGCACTCGTACGTCCAAATTGCAAAAAGAAAAAACCTCACCTCATCCAACGAATGGTAGTTATCCGCAATTCTCGAATACCTTCTGTCTAGCCTCCTTCTATTATCACCGGTCGGGCCAGCGGCACATTCTTGCACATAAGCCGGCTGCTGTGGCGGTGGCGGCGGATAGCCCTGAGCATCTTGACCATACGACGACTGTGGATACCCGTACTGCGGATTCCATGAAGGAGAACTCTCCCTCCAACTCCCATCTCTCGAACCTTTAGCCCCCATAACTCAAAAATCTACAAGAACACAAACAGTTCACCGTCGGCAAAAACCTTCTTCATCCCCCTCAATATAAGAAAAGCAAAAGAGGAACCGACCCTTTAAAGACTCTAGAACAAAGAAAGACCAAAGCAACACAACAAGCAAAAAAGTTATAACCGTCCCAAGCTGAACCAGTCCTCTTTTCAGGGATTAAAACTTCCCAGAAACTTCTCAAAAGCTCCTCAAAGCGTACAAGCAAGACCCAAGACGCAGCCAGAAAAGGGTGAACCGTGCAATAACTTGCTTCCAACCAACAAAAAGTAATTGTCTTCTCCCTTACTTCTCTGACGACCGCCATCCCTGTTCAGTAAATTATCCGCACGCGTTCAGAAAACAGCAGCGGCAGCACGCGAAGGCGAAATTTGATTTCTCACTCCTCGGAGCAGGTAAAAAAAAAAAAACCAACCTTTTTGCTCAACGGCGACTGGACACGACCAGTCCACAACACATGCTTAACGTTAGGCCTCGACCCACAAAAGAAAACCCCGAAAACGAGCGGAATCTGTCGAGATACTCGATCCAACCACGATCCCTCTCGACTTCAAAAGACGGGGCATTAAAGAAAGAGACGAACGACACCCAACTGCGAGTAAATCAGAGAAAAGAAGCAGGCCCATTGACCGCTGAACACGTCAAAGATTCAACCCACCTTCGATCGAAGAAGAAGATGGTGGTGGCGGTGGCGGTGGCGGCTGTGACATCGTCGCTGGCGCGGAGCATCTAGCTCGGTAGGTGAAGGAGCAGAGCTTCAATCATGGCGGACTCGGAATTCGTTTGAAATACATACCAAATTTTTTTAATATACGGATTTTATTAATTAAATAAAATAATTATAAAAAAAAATACGCGATTAAATAAAATCAGAAAGCTGACTCTATCCAAAGGCAAATCGATTGAGGTCTCCGTCAAGGGAGGGATTTCTTGGAAGTTTCGAGACGGCCAAACAATGCTATTTAGCAAAAAAAAAAAAAAAATCTTAAAATTAATTTTCGAAAAATAATTACTTGTATCTCTTAAAATAAATAATTAATTAAAAATATCTGCAATATCGATCATAATTCACATTTAAACATTTTTGTGAACGGTAACGATGAGAATATTTTTCGTTCGTTCATTTTTATAGGCGGTTTAGGCGATCGTTATTCGGAAAATATCATTTAAATTGTTCGTAATTTGCAAAATAAATGTAGCTTAAATGTTGGTTTATTGGAGATTTTTTTTTATGAACTCTTATCCTATACGCTGGCGACGTAATACGTTTACTTTTTCATTCTTTTAGGTTAATGGTTTCGCGTAAAAAAAGTCTTCTACTCTGGTTTATAATAATGTAAATTCATTTAGTGGTGAGTTCCTTTAATAAAATGATTTGCAATGTCGATGCAATTTTATAATTCGCATTAGTAGCAGTGCACTATGCTCGTAGGGGGGAACGTGCATCATGTTGCTTCGAGGAAAATAATAATTTTTTTATCACCCACCACCAACCACGGCAATAAATAAATAAAAGTGGGTCGACTTTATTTATTTTGCGAGCCCAATCGAGTTCGAGTTTCAAACAATATATATATAATGTGCCGGGCATTATGAGGATCCACCGAATCTATTAAAATTTGAATTTTTGCCGTACTTTCGTTCCATTTCCACCCCCATTATATTTAAAGGGAAATATATATATGAGAAAAATAAAATAAAACTGAGAGTATCTCTTTCTTTTTCTTTTTTTCGGTCGAAATTGAGAGTATCTCTTTCAGTCTCCCTCTAAGTTTTTTTTTTTAACGATGATATAATAACTATTTGTGCATTTGAATATTGGAAAAATCAGTCGAATTAACATTTTATGCGTCATCAATGCGTAACATATCTGATGCAAGGGATTGGACTTTCTTTACTTGAGACCTCCTCCTTTTTATTCCTTTGCAATTTTGTACATGGACTTTTACTATTTGCTTCTTTTGACGTGACCACATCCCTTTGCTCGTTACGTGTCCTTATCTGCAACACGTCGAAAATGACTTTTTGTGCAAAACAGGTGAGAAATAGAGAAAAGGAGAGAAAAAGGAGACACATATTAAAAGACTGGAGCAGAAGTCTCTGTATATAGTATTTTATGCATTTTCCCTCGTAATTGTTGCACGGTACCGTATCGATCGACCGTCAATTATGCGAGTCGCGTCGTGAGACCCGCGTATTCAACGGTCCAGATGGACTTGCTATGCATGATTTGTAGAGCGACCGTGCCTTTTTGTCGACGTGACGATATTATAATTTAAAAACAATTACATGATTACAGCTTAGTGAAATTTGATTAATAAACCTTTTATTTTGAGGGCCAATTAGGTCCAATTTAATTTTCCTTCCTTGATTAATTATTAACCTGCTTATTTTATTTGTTTGGGGAGATGTTGAAGGTAAAAAGAAGATGCACTTGCTTAGTTGGGAGAAGCTTTGCCATCCGAAAAACTGTGGAAGGCTAGGATTTCGTAATCTGAGAGATAGTAACAAAGCTTACCTTATGAAATTGGCTTGGTTCTTAGTTTCGAAACCAACATCACTATGGGTTTCATATATTCGAGATAAATACATTTGTATTGAATTGGTACCATCTGCTACACCCTCCCATACTACACATTTTTTATTTTCGAAGGCTCTTAGCAGTGTCTGGAGTGATGTCCTAGAGGGTATGAGATGGGTAGTTGTTAATGGGCGATCGGTTAAATTTTGGAAGGATAACTGGGTTGATGAGGTTGGCCCACTGACCCACTGGATTCTGCCGTCCTGCATCTCAGAACCTAGACCGCACTGTTCGTGATTTCGTTTGCAACAATCAATGGAACCTTGCAATTCTAAAAGACATTCTATGGCAATCAATCTTGATGTGTATACATTCAATGCTTCCACCTTCTGATAATGGTGGTGAGGATTTGCTTATATGGGGCAATGATAGCAATGGTTCCTTCACGATTAAAGAAGCTTATGATTTAGTTGCACCAATACATCAAATGCCGACTAATCGACTCTGGAGTTTAGTATGGAAATGGGATGGGCCACAAAGAATCAAAAGCTTCTTGTGATTGGTTTCTCATCAGTGCCTACTCACTAATGATGAAAGATTTCGATGTAGACTCTTGTTGCGTGATGTGCCCGCACTCTCCGGAGACAATTATACATGTTCTCAGAAATTGCAAGTATGCAAAGGCAGTTTGGCAAAAGATTCTACCTGCTAGTTTACAGGGCGAGTTCTTCACCCAAGATCTACTCCCATGGTTGATGTTAAACTTATCTGGTTCATCAACTAGGGTTCGAGATAATTGGTCACTTATTTTTGCTGTTGCTTGTTGGTATTTCTAGAACCGGAGGAATGGAAGAATATTTGAGAAGGATTTTTATCTTACCAGCGAACCCTTATGCGTGATTCTAGGCCATGTCAAAAATATTGCTTCGGCTCGACTAGCAGAACACAGATTGTCTCCTCCTAGGGAGAAAAGAGATAAGCTTGTGGGTTGGACTGCTCCTTCGACTAGTTGAGTCAAGCTCAATTCCGACAGGTCTTCTAAAGGCAACCTGGGACCCGCCTCAGAGGTGGGCTTATGCGCAATGAATCAGGCAACTGGCTTGTTGGATTTGCTCAAACTGTGAAAGTGTGCTCTTCACTCAAAGCAGAACTATGAGGTGTCCTTTTGGGTCTTAAAATGGCAATTTCTTTTGTCATACCTAAACTTATTGTAGAAGTGGACTCGCAAGTCGCCATTTCACTACTTCACAGATCATCTCCTGCTCTCCACTTTGGCGACACGCTCATTCCTCAGATTCAAAAACTTTTAAGATGTTTTCAGAATGTCAAAATGCTACATAATTTTAGGGAAGGCAACTCATGTGCTGATTGGTTAGCAAATTGGGTCTTTCATTCTTGTGATACAAATGATACCTTAGTGCTAGAAAGGCCACCGAGAGGGTTGATTCCTCTATTGATAGGAGATCAGGTTGGTTCAAGTTTCATTAGACGAGTTATATTGTAATTTCTGGGCTTTGCCCCTTTCAATACCAAAATAAAAATAAAAATAAATACACAGGTTTTGATAATGAACATCTAACTAGATCTGATGTTGATAACTTTAAAGAAATTAGTGGTGATTCTTGAATGCGTGGGCAGATAGATTAGAGTGAAAGTTAGAGTTTTTTTTTTTGGCAAAAAGAGTTTGGAACGGATTTGGGATTTGACTAAAGTTGAGAATGTTTTTTTAGAAATTAGACCATTATTTTGCCTTTAAGATAACCAACCAATCGCATTAATTCACGGGGTTGCATGCTCCCGAAGCTATAGCTCTGGTCGGGGATGAATATTTTTTTCTTGTCTTTTCTTTTTTCAATTTATTTTGCTCGTCTTTTTCTCTCAGATTTATATTAACCGGGAGATTAATCGAGAGCGAGTCTCGCACTTGCTAATTAAGACGAGATTCAATCTCCGTTTGTTTCACGGAAAATAAATAATTTAAAAAATATTTTACAAAAAAATGATCGTTTATATCGCTTACGAAAATGATGAACGATAAATATTTTTCATTATCTAATTTATTCAACTAATATAAACGATCATATTGCGACAAATATTTTTAAAAATGTTTATTTTTCAAGAAATAAGCGGGGCCTAATCGAAAGCGACACTTGTACTTGTTAATTAAAATGAGATAACGTGAGGTTTTATCAAAGTATTTTGTGGGTTCATGGCAAGACACGCGTGCATGGAAAAGTGGATAATCCTCGTGACTAGGCACCCTTCAAAAGAAAAGCTGTGGCTGAAGAAAAGTCGCGAGTCAACGTCGTCCGTTCGTTCATGTGGCTGGGAATGCTGCTGCCTCTAATTCTCATGTAGAGCTTTTCATTCATAAGCCGTAACCCAACGTCGCAAACGAAAGCGATCGTCGAATTTTGGTACTTTAGTACCCCCCCTCTTATGATAGCGTCTAAAATTGAGTGACTAGCCAGCCGATTGCTCCCGAAAGTTTAGATCGGTGGAAAGCGGACCCTTCGAAAGATCGGTGAAAAATTTAGAGAACCCACCTCGCTCGAGAGATTGGCCAATGTATAGGAACCTCGCGAGGGTGGTGGTAAAGCAGCACGGGTTCTGGCATTTCGAGAGCATGATCGCCTCGAATCAAGCTTCTATTGAAGCCGATCGCTCAGGATTAGGATAGGAAGAAGTAATTCATCCCGAGTCTCTTAGTCCTAATTAGAATGGTCCGTTACTGATTGGACCATGAAGGTAATTACGAAACTTTTTGAGAACTCTGAAAAAAAAAAAAAGATATGCCAGGAATATCCCACCAAAACATCTTATCAAAATTACTTTTCGCAACTTTTTGTTGCAAAAGAAAAGTTTTTCCTTTCATCTATTGTGGATGTGGATAGGAGCATCTTAGTCTTTATCAATTAGAAATACAAGACGTGACTTAAGACTTGGTCGTGAGCTACCATAGAATGAGCACATTGGATTGCCCATTGCAAAGAATCCAATGTTCCGTTATGCATAAATAGCCGTCGGAGGATAATCGTGATCGATCGATTTGGATAAGACTCAATCCCACGTGATTTGGAGTCTCCTTCTCGTAAGTTTGAAGCTCTCGGTTTCTCTCAATTTCAAAAGAAAATAATCTAAATCCATCGCGAGCGTGCAGATTCGATTCGAGCGCTAGCCATAAGATAACTCCGGCTTTAGTCAACTCGCATACAGTGCAAAACTCTCTCGAGTTAGCATAAATGACTCAGATCCAGATGTCTCCACACGAGTATAAATTCTTACAGCAATTTTAAAAGGGGTCGCCGATGCCGGCCGCCCTTCCGCATTAAAAAAACAAGGAGCCACCGAAACAGGCACATGATAGATCACCAACTTCCGACGACGCCGGCAGCTCATCATTGGACCGTATAAAAACGCAAGATCCGGTTGGTATCCTTTGTCTCTTCACCAAGTTGCACGCTTTCTCGTGAAACGTTCCTTTGTCCAATTCTTCTGGATGCGTACGCAGTAAGCAAGAGCTTGAAAGGGAAACGCACAAATCCATCTGAATAATTGGAAGACAACTTTAATATTTTTGGAGATCATCAATTCGTGCTTTCAATGCACGTCTTGCTCAATCATTTTACGGGGTTTCCTCTCTCTCTGTGTCATTTGTCGTTTTTCCGATGATTGCTTCGGGACCAATTCTCTTGAAAACTTCGGGCTGTTGGTCCAATCCCGAAAGGGAGGCTGCTGTCGAAGGTCACATCGAAGGTCACTAATTCGTGCTTTCTCCAACATTATCAACATCAGGAGACTCCGCCGTAAGACGAGAGTGTTGATGAAGACGTGAGTTCTGATAATGAATCTCTACCTAGCTCCCGATGTTGATAATTTTGAAAGGATTAGTGATGCTTCCCGGACGCGTGGGCAAATTAAAGGCTAGAATGAAAGTCGAGGAGTTTTATAAAAAAAAACATTTAGGCAGAATTGGGATTAAACCCAAAATTTTGGGATTCTTTTTAATGGAACCAAGCCGATTCCTCCGATCACCATTTTGACTCTAAGCATCGAGAAACATCGCGACACGACGAAAGTATCACCGACATATGGCGTTTGTGTGTCTTTTCTTGGCCAAGTAGTCCTTGCCTAGACAGCCCCATATGACAAGATTCGAAAAACTTGTCGCAGGCTTTAAAAATGGTCACGAGTTCCATCACATTCTCCTTAGAACATGTCGCAAAGCCCGTCCAGTGCTCGTTCTCGGCCATGAACGAGGGGAACAAATTAAGGGATCATTAGGCATTAATTAATCCGGGATTTACACCTTAATCAAGTGTCTTCGAGCTCACGTGAAAAGCTTTGACTAATCTCGATCGCGGGGGCGATTTCCTTATAGACAACATTGAGAAGAAGCATAAACAAAATGGTTTTGTCGCATTAAGTCAAAGTTTACCATCCCAAGTTACCTTTAATTTGATTAAGGTATAGACAGCTATCCACGTGACGATGATCGATTTAGTCCCAAAAAATTTGGATTCACACCTCGTCATTAGAATCAACGGGAAGAGCTTAGAGTCAACACCGAGGTGCTCCCGATGAATTCTTTACTTAATATGAGAATACGACTCGAATAGCACGGACCCAACATGACTTATTTAATATCGACACGAATCGCTATGTTTTTACCTACTTTTCATACAATACTATATATAATTGTGTCGGGATAAATCGTTAATAGCACAAGATGCTAGATATAGAACACCTCACGAATTGCCACCCCTAGCTAAATTTGGGACTTCAGATGACCACACGATTCTTTTTTCCTAGTTCTTGATTTTCTTCCTCTTCTTTCTTCTTCTTCTTTGAGACATCTCAATGCTCGCTCGCTCGCTCTGCTTTCCAGTTTCGAGGTCTCACATACACTTACCCGGTGTAGACCCCGAAGATCGATAGTAACATTCATACGTGGACAACGTTCCTAAGTCAGACAACCTTACGCTTCCGCATGGCAAACCATTATGCTGATTCTAAGAAATCGAATGCTCTCAGGATTTTGCAGAAACCTTCAAATCTAGCCACAGTGAAAGTTGACCCTGTATGGCTAGCTTGTTTTCTTCTGAGCCTCCTTTAGACACTCTTGACTCAACGAATTGGTAGGGGATGTGAGAAGCATTGCTCAAGAAAAGGTAAGCGAGCAGCGCCATCTTTCTTATCCATTTCGTCCCTTAAGTAGCGCCATCTTTTCTCAATTCACTTCACAGCTTCTTCATGACCACACGCGAGAACACATTTCAAAGGGGTTTTTAAACAACAGCAGAGTGGTAACTACATACACCTCTGTAGGTCATTCATGAGGCTACACGCTCTCTTATGAATAGTACACAGCTTCTTCATGAGCACTCACTGACGATGTCCTTCGGGCAGTGGAACCACGTGGATGAAGCGTACGGTCCTTTGAGGCATGGCCCCGTCTTCTTCGTCGTCATCAAACTCAAGCAAGTAACTGATCAAACCAAAACACAAGCATTAAAAGGATGTCAGATGCGAGGATTGGAGTTTCTCGAGGGTGAATGGGGGCAATGTTCCTCGAACTTTACTCCATGCCATGCTATATTTGGTGCTCAGATAATTCGGAAATAATGGCGATACCAGATAAATGCAATTTCACTCTGTCCGAAAGAGATGTATATATTTATGAGAAAAGACGCAAACAAAGAAGTTTTCTTAAATCACCAGCGATAACAACCGTAACACTCGTCTTATATACTTGCCTAGGAGACTAGTCGTAAATCAATTAGCAGGAGTCTACATTTTAAGGATTTTATGCTTAGGGCGCTTTTGGTAACGTTTCTATTTCTGGGAACAATTTCTTTTCAGAAATAGTTTTTTCTATTTCTATTTCCTGGAAGAGTTTCTGAGCAAAATAATGCGTTTGATAACTGCACAAAATTTCTATTCCCAATTTTTTGCATTCAAATCTATATCTTTTATTTAACTATAAGTACAAGTTATAAGTGAAAAAATCAATAAGCATGGTTTATTGGTTTGTCTAATCCTTTTTAGGGGTTTAAAACCCCTTTTAATCCCTAAACTAAGGAATCTTCAAAAATACCACTTGGGCACCTCAAAAATTTAAATTTCACTCAAAGTGGGTGGCCACAGGAATTCCAAGCCATCATGTGAATTTTTTTATATTTTTTTGGGGTAAAATTTATTAAATTTTTTTACTTTCCCTACATCTGTTTCTTTTTATTTTTTCGAAAATTTTTTATGAATTTTTTTTAATTTTTTCAATTTCGAAATTTTGCAAATATTTAAGGGTTTTCTGAGTTTTTCTGATTTTTATGGATTTTCTGAGAATTTTTCTGATTTATATGAATTTTGGGAATTTTTTAATTTTCTAATTTTTTATGGGATTTTTCTGAAATTTTTCTAATTTTTATGAATTTTTGGAATTTTTTTAATTTATTCTAAGCCATTATGTGAATTTTTTATTTTTGATTTTTTTTGGGGAAAATTTTATTAAAACTTTTTACTTTCCCGAAATCTGTCTCTTCTTTTTTTCCATAAAGCTTTTTATGAATTTTTTTAAATTTTTTCAATTTCGGAATTTTGCAAATTTTTATGGGTTTTCTGAGTTTTTCTGATTTTTATGGATTTTCTGAGAATTTTTCTGATTTTTATGAATTTTTGGAATTTTTGGAATTTTTTATAATTTAATTAATTTTTTAAATTTTTATTATTATTTCCGCCGAGAATGGACCAGATCGGTGCTTTGAGACGGTTTGCAGACGACGGAGGATGGAGGAGGAGCTGAGGTTGCGACTTGAGGACCGAACCTTTCTATTTCTATTTCTATTTCTAGGAACAAAGAAGTAGATTTTTCTACTTCTTATTTCTGCTCCAAATCTATTTCTTAGCCACTTTTTTATTCCAGGAAATAGAAAAATAAAATGTGTTATCAAACGGATTTATGTTCTTTTTTTGTTCCAGGGAACAGAATAACAGAAAAATAGAGAAACAGAAGTGTTACCAAACGCGCCCTTATCTACCACTCCATATCACAGAAAATTGGGGACGGAAGGGGGGAAGGAATATTACTCTGAATCAAGGTAATACTCCGATTTACACAGTTATGGCCAAATTCATATCAATAACTTAGAATTTCCCACCAAGATAAAGCATAGGAAGAAGTTACTTACTCATCTGTCTTCCTCTGGATGTTTGAAGAAGAGCAAAGCACCAGCAACATGGACGACAAAATTAGTGCTCAGCCTAAACCCCATAAACAAGTGCAACCGAACAGATGAAAAGAAAGTCACCTTTCTGGAGTTCACGACTGTTGCTTTATATAGTGCAGTTGTCCCAGGATAAACAGCCAAAACATAACTTCCTAGGGAGAAATCTTGAGTACTAGATGGATCATTTGGCTTAGGCAAAGGAATAATACGAGACACCGGGACCTTGTATTTTCTGTAATTAACATTAACAATTCATAAGAAACAATTCTCAAGGTAAAATACTAACTCCAGAAAGTGGTGAACATTACATGAGCAGATAAGGCCTTCTTAGCCAATTAAAATAAGTCAATGCCTTCGCTAACAGTCATCGAGTACTACCATCAAACCTAGCACAGGTTAATAGGTAAAGTCGGGCTATTAAGAAGAAACAGAAACACTACCACCAAAGTCTTGAGAAGGCATGACAGAAGATTTGCCATGGCACCCACTATAAGCTACTGGTAGGGATAAATGCCTATAACCACCGTATTGCACACGACTGACTTAAAATAACTACCTTTGACCTCCACTTTCTTCGTCATCACCTGGCTCCTCATCTAATACTTCAAATATGTATAGATAAATTAAGAGTTAGGGAATATTAAAAGGAAATAGAGCATTGATATAATTTAAGTAAAGAGTGCAGATGGTAATCCACTCTACACCACCATCTATTGACGAGCACGACATGTCTGACAACCTCCATGTGAAATTTAAACAGAGCAAGCTCTTCTAAAACAGTTGATTATTAGTTTGAACACAAGCCAAAATGGCTAAATTTATCTAAAAAGGGACCTTGAACTGCAGCTTATTATTCCATAAGAATACTAAAATTCTCGCTCGCTCCAGGCCAGCAGGATTGATAGTAGCTTGAGAATAAGGAACTGCGGACTCCCCTTCACCATATCCACTATAATCAAGTAACTACTTTTAATCATATTACTTGATACTCCTCAAAAAGTTGCATTAAGATGCCAAGTTGCTGCAGGTGCATTTATTGACTAAACTGTATTGTAGTTTGATAATTGATGAGAACAGTTTAGGACAACTAATAGAATGGGAATACTAGGATGTAACTCAAGCTTATATAATCATGATAATGTCCGCTTAGTTAATGAGTTCAAGGTGTTCCTCTATGGCCAACTCAAGATGGAACATGCAGTTATGCAGCATAAAGTAGAAAATCATATGCACATGTATGTGAATGGTGCACCTGTCACCTAACAAGTGTCGCGACCGACCTCTCGCCTTTTTTATCGAACAACATGCAAAAAGAAGGGGGGCTCGCCTGGTACGTGCTAAGTCTAGGTTCGGGACTTAACTCGGGCTCTCCCAAGCCCATACCATATCGCAACTTAGGATTTAGGTTTGTTAACATGCAAGTAGTTTATATCAAGGAGTCGCCACTAATCGATTTGGGGTGGATCGATTAGAAACCCAAATAAGGTGATGGGAGAATCACCCTATTTCTACGAACCAGAGATTAACTGAGTTCGGGGACTTGGTTACACTAGTTGGATAACTAATGCCCTTTCGGTACCTTTTTACCCTGTTCATTTCTGAAAACATTTGTCAGGCAATTTGGATTGATTTTAGGACCTTTCTCCTAACATGTGAGGTGATCAAGCGAGTATATAATCATAAATGATCAGCAGTCAAAATAGATATGCAGCCTTAGGTTCTAATCCTAACTAAGTCAGATGACATTCAAAACATAACAGTTCATGCAATTATGTTTTAATAACATGCATAATAATAACACAACGATAATGAAAACAACATGCAAAACCCTACAGGCCTATCTAATTTAAACATGGCAATTTATGCAATTATAACAACATGTATAATAATACAACAATAAATTAAAACATCAGATATATCACATAATTTAGAAAAGAGAAAAAAATTTTAAAAAAAATTTTTGAAAATTTTTTTTAAAAAAAGGGAAATACGGAAGAAAAAAAAGAAAAAAAAATTATTATTTATTTTTTTAAAAAAATTTTAATTAATTAATTTTTTTAAAAATAAAATAAAACCGGGTCGAGTCGTGGATCCGGGTCGGTCAGATCTGACCCGGGTCAACGGACCTGACCCATCGCATTGTCCCGGGTCGGATCTCCGGATCCTAACCAGGTCAGGGGTCAACCCGGGTCATCGACCCGGGTTTGGACTGGATCGGGCCCGGTCGAGGCCCAGTCTGGTGGATAAAGACGAAATAGGGCCGGTTCGACCGGGTCGAACCGGCCCTATTCGGCTTGCAAACCTGTCCAATCGGTCTGCAAACCGGCTCAAAGACGGCTCCCGCATGTCTGAGCACGCGAGAGCTTCAGTCAGCGAGATCGGATCTCGCCGGACGATCCAGGCTGCCCATGGCCTAGGTCTTCACCACATAAGACTCACTTACCTTCTTCGACCACCGGGATCGCCATCCGATTGCTCGTTCGCCGTTTGGCGACCAAAACAAAACTAGCCTCTTTGAGGCATTTCATCGAGCACTTGGCGTGGGCGATTAAAATCAGAGGATTTCGACCTCCTCCGGCGACTCGGTTGGCTCCGACGGCTATGGTTCGCTTCCGACGATGAGCAGGGGACGGGACCGACGTCGGTATGGGCCGGGATTCGCGCGAGGCGGCCGGCGCGAGTCCCGACCAAACCGTGCCAAAAAACAGGGGTGAACAGGGGATGTCGCGGTCGGGAAGGCCCACCGGTCTGCGCTAGCTTCCAAGGGGCTTCCGGCTGGTCTGGGGGCGACGGCGACGCTCCTGGCTTCCTTCTCGCGGCCGGCGTACTCTCAGTATGCTCTCTCTCTCTCTTTCTGCTCTCTCTATCTTTGTTTTTCTCTCTAAAATGGCCGACCGGCCTCTCTCATTCTCTCTGGCTATATATAACCGACGACCGGCGTGCCCCCTGCTACATTACGTATGCTGACGATGGCCTGCACCGGCCTACCCTGGCCCGCGACTTTCGCGGCCATTTAGGTCGGTGCAGAGCGGGGGTCGATTCTGTGAGGAGGGGCAGAGGAAGAAGGAGAGAGAGAGCCCGGGAAATGGGGAAGGAGGGGACTGGCCATCAATGCCAGTCCCCTTGGCGTGCTTCGTCGACCATCCTCTGTCTTGATGGGGACAGCGCGGCCGCGCTCGGCCGCTCGTCGAGTCGACGTCAGAAACAGAGGAGAATAGGGACGGAGAAAGAGACAACCAGCGGGGGAGAAGGAAGGAGGAGAAGGGAGCTGGGCCGGGCCGGGCCCAGCTGCGGGGGGGAAAAGAAAGGAAAAAAAAAGGGGCGGGCTGGGCCCGGGCGGGGGGAAGAAAAAAAGAAAAAGAGAATGGGCTGGGCCCGTGCGGGGGGAAAAGGAAGAAGAAAAAGGCCGGGTCGACCCGGCCCCGACCTGGCCCAACTCGATTTTTTTTTAAATTGAATTTTTAAAAAAAAAAACACTCTAATAGACCCTATTGATACAAATGTGCCTAATTTCTATATGCAATGCATTTAAATAGAAATATATTTTTTGTTTTAAGAATTAAAGAAAATTAACTCCTAAGTTTTGTGCAATTAATTTTGGGCAAATTAAAATAGGTGTCAACAACAAGAAACATGGTTCAGTGGTGAACATTGAGAAAATTTAGAGACACATCTGATATATTATCGTATCACTATCATATGCACAAGTATGTGAATGGTGCACCTGTCAACCGAAGAGAAACTATGGTTCAGCAGTGATTATTGAGAATCATCGTATTACCATCACTTGAGAGTATAACTAATATTGGTAAAAGCTAACGAAAGACGCATAACAACGGAATCAGGAAGCAACTTTTTGCATCCACCAAACTGACATTGATCAAACTAAAGAGGCTCGACAAATTCAACATGCAGAGTACGTAAGAAAATATGTTCTCGTACTACTATCGAGGCTCAGAGGCAAGGAAAATCTCTCTGGCAGATGCTAAAACGAAAATTGCTTCAAGGAGCATGGACTACGAGCAGTTCTACTGCTCAAGGAAAAGAATATAACAAAATCGAGGTTCGTATGCTATTTGCACTCGAACAATGTGTAGACGAACACTAAACAATCAACTTTACATTGAATAATACACATAAGAAAAAGAGATCATTTTCATAATGTACCAGGGTAGAATACAATACCAAAATGGCCAGCCGGCATCCACGTCAGCACTGGCCGGCCAAAATTGGTCAGATGGACTAAATTGGCACAAATGCAAAAGGTTTAATTAGAACTGAATTGATACAATTGCAATAGATTTATGACCGTTTTGATAATTTTCCCCTTGAGTATGAAGAAACTTACTCTTTTGTCTCTCGGTCAAAGTCGATCACTTTCGTAATGTACCAATAATGGTGTCCAGCATCATCTCCTGAAGCCCTACCCTCCACCTATTCATGACGAATTATCAATCACACCAGTTCATGGGTTTAAACACCACAAGCGAAAGATCTGCAAAGACAAGACAGCAAGCTCATGCCTTTTAAAGGAACAAGAACTAGAAAACGAGACCCACCTGTTGGCCTTTCAGACTAGCATAAAAATCAAGTTGCCTTCTCATGGAAGAAGAAGACATCCCAGACATTCTTGTCTCCTTCATCGTCCGTTTTCGCTTCCGATCATTACCATCTGCACGTTGCACAGAGCTAACCGCGTCAACAAGAAGCCGAAACAGAAATATTATTCTGTCCGCTACTCCCCCGATGACCACTATCCTGCTCAGTTATTATCCATATACGCTCAGAAAACAGCAGCAGCAGCAGCACGCGATGACGAAATGATTTCTCGCCTCTCGGAACAGGGTAAAAAACCAACGTTTCCAACAGCAACAGGAAATCGACCTCAGAAAGAAAACAGCAACAGGAGAACAGGACCGGTGCACAAACACATCCCAAACGTTAGGTTTCAACGATTGCCGAGCATGTTAAAGACCACGCACCTTCGATCGAAGGAGATGTTCTCCGAGGCATGCCGATGCCGGGCTAATCTAGCTCGGTCAGCGGACGATGGAAAGCTTCTATGAGTAAACCTAGCAGGAAGAAGACTTTAGCTTTTCATTCAAAGGAAACCAGTACTCGTTCGTCAACGAAGAGATTTCATGGAAGTTTCTTTTCTTTTTTTTCTTTTATATCTTTCATGGCCTAATTTCCTCAGACTTTAGTCCGGTTTTCATGGCCTAATTTCTGTTAAATTGTACCGTTAATTTGTTGAGTTGGAGGACATTTGACAATTGATGGGTATACCGATTTGGGATTTTACTCTTCGTTTGTCACAGGTATACAAGTTTGGAATTTTTCGTCGCATTAATCAAATTTAACAAAACTAACTGATGGTAAATTTATCATAAATATACCAATTTGGGGTTTTTGGTGGTCAAAAAATTAATTTCGGGTAAATTTGTCACAGGTGTATCATTTTGGGATTTTTTTTGATAAAAAAATTAGTTTTTAATAAATTTGTCACGTGTATACCAGTTTGGGGTTTTTCGTGATATTAACCCTTAATAAAAAAATATCTATTTGACCAAAAAAAATTAAAAACATCTAATTAATTGCTTTAGCAATGTATTTAATTTATTGTTTTTCTTCCATTTCCTTTCTTTTCTTTTCCATTCACTATCTATGAGAGCTGGAAAGAGGGTTAGGTTACCAACTTGGTGGAAAATGATGAAATTGAAGATGCATATAATTGTGGAATTCGAGTACTCGATCCCCTTTAGATAAGGTCAACGAGTGTATCAGATACTCGGTTGAAGGGCGCCGGTGAGAAGCACAAGAGAAAGCCCTTTTAATGCACAAGAGACACCTCACACAAGGTATGATGCTTGTTTAATGTGATATGCTGATTCGATAAATTGTTTTTAGCTTATTTATATGTACTTTTTTCTTTTTTAAAATGGGTATAAGCAAAGAAAGGCATGAAGTAATTGTTGGCCAGGATTAACCTTAAGCAGAAGTCCAGAGTCACTAGGCTTTGATCTCCCTTTAGCAAGCTGAGTTCAATGTGAAAGCAATTAATGCATAAGATCTTTGAAAATTTGTTTTTGTTAGTTGGATCTATTTTGGAAGTTGGGAGAGCATTTGCTGTTTACTTTAGCTACACAATTTTTATTGTTAGTTATTTGTTGCTTTTTCATAGATCTTATTCAGAAGACTGCCATTTTGGACCTTAAGTTAGTGATTGTGGATTTTGGTTTGCTTTCATGGTCTATTAGTATGAACAGGGGATGACTTTCGTGATCTTCCTACTGTGAAATAGAATGCAAAAGCCAAATTTTAGATGAACCACCTTCTGCATATCAAGTTTTGCCTTCTAATGTTGATCTTTCTTCCACTGTTTTTTCCATTTTGGGATTATCATAATCTAATGGTATAAACTTGTGTATTCAATAGTCAACCATTGATTCTTTGCTCAGAACTCTTTTGTTTTGAGTCCTATTCTTCATGCACATATCAGTAGTAATGTAATCAAGTTGAGTTTGAGCCGATACAGTGCCAAATTCGAGTTCTAAGTTCGACTCTACTCACATACTCAATACTCAAAACTTGACTCGAGCTTGAATGATCATAAAAAATTTATGCTTGAGTTCGACTTGACTCGAAAATTGAGATTGAAGAGCTTGAGCTCCACTCACCATGATACTTGAGTAGCTCGAGCTCGACTCAAAGTTAGATGAGCCGATCCTGAGTAACTGTTGAACTAAGCATGAGCCACCCGTTGAATTGAGCATGGGCTACTTACGGGTAGCATGACTCAGTTTCATCTCTACATATTCGTCTCGCGATAAAATTTCAATCTTCTCTTGTTTTCTCTAAAATCATATAACAACAAGTTCTACATAACCATCAGGATTAACTCCTGTAACTAAGAATATCGAAATAACAAATACAGTAAGAAAAGATATGAAGACTCCATACCTTATTTCTTTGAATTTCTTTATAATTATATAACAACAAGTTCTACATAACCACCAGGTTACTCCTAAGAACATGAAAATCACGAATCCGGTAAAAAAAGATATGATGACTTCATACCATAATTCTCTGAATTTCTTTCAAATCATACAGCAAGTGTCACGCCCCGCACTCCTCGGCGCGCCACATCCCTCGCAAAGGTCGATTCGTGTGCGACGTCCCAGGACGCGTCGCCGACCCAACACCCAACACAGAGATTTAAAGCACATGCGGAAGTAATTAAAACCACCCGTACATTAAAATACACCTAACCAAGGATAGCCATAGAAACCAACAACAACGATTGCACTAATACTGGAAATCATATACAATATTCATATACAACCCGATCATCAAAATCAAAAGCGGGTCAAGGCCACTACTGACAAAAGGGGGGTAAGTGGCTCGGGGGTCAGTCTACTACTAATGGTGGGGCGCTGGTCAAAAAGGTACTAGCCCTACCCCATCTAAGACGGACACTAAGCCCTACGGTGCCCAATCTGGGTCGGAATCAGAAGACTCCGAGGATGAAGAGCTGTCAGGCATCTCTTCCTCGGACCCTGATGAGTCCGACTCTGACTCGACCTCAGCAGCCTCTTCCTCTAAGACCATATCCTCCGGCTCGGCCTCCAGAACAGGATCCTCCTCGATCGGCTCCGGCTCTCCGTCATCCACGTCCATGTCCACCGGCTCGAACTCATCCATCTCGTACTCTACTGGAACTCCGTCGGAACTCATACCTTCCTCAGATGAGGAACCAGGGTCCGTCACCTCGCCATCGGGGCATCGGGGATATCTCGTGCCCATCCCGGTGAACGGGACATCAAAAGTCCGGAGAGGACCATACTCTCCGAAGCCGTCCCTGAAGCACCATGCCACGTACTCGTGGGTCTGGTAATGCGTCGCTCCCACCTCCGCCCAAACAATAGAATGATACCTAACATACGATTCCCCGTTCCCTACGGGGTGTATCGTCTTCGTCCGCTCTACTAGGAGCGGAATCCCAAAACGAACCGGAATCTCGGACATCTAAATGCTGGGGGTCTGAAAAATTGGGTTTCAACAACAGTGAGAATAAATCTCAGCGAGTAATTCCCTAAACCTAAATTAGGCTAAAGTGCACCTCCTGACGAGTACTAAATCAACACACCAAGCAAATAATAACTGACTTAGGCCCTCGGGCCCAAATCCAACACTCACCTTGCCCTGCAGGTTAGGCACTTACAGTTCAAGCATAAAACATAGGACCCAATCGCAGCACACGTACACATCATTTGATCACAACGCATGTCATGCTTATGCTCGTGCTCATACGCGTGCTCACGCCTCATCAATGCATTTTTGCACGCTTGCACTCTAGCATACTTGCCATTTATCAATTTCTCCTCCGACCCGCGTTAAACGCATCAGGTCCGACCCGCGTAAAACGCATTAGGTCTATCACTATCCAACACTTCCTGGCCCGCGTAAACGCATCAGGCCCAGTGTCTCTAGCCCGCGTAAACGCATCAGGCGCAACACCGATCTCCATATACGGACCGAACCCGCGTAAACGCATCAGGTTGGCCGTCTTCCGGCAATCCGGGCATCGTCCCGCGTTAAACGCCTCAGGACGGGTTCACTACCCCGCGTAAAACGCATCAGGGTTTATTGTGATCACACATTCACAAGCACCAATTTTCATCTGAACCCCGCGTTAAACGCATCAGGGCATTTTAGGTGATCACAATGCACATGTCACTCGAGCACACTTATAAATGCACATGCCGTGCCAATGCTCGTGATGCAAACTCATGGCCATAAACTTCACACTCGGGCATCCACGATTTCACAATGGACATTCAATAGCACAACGCCAATTAATTAGTTCACAATGCACCATGTCCAATCAACATTTCAATATGCCCAACCCACATATTAGCACGACCATGAAATTCAATTCAAGCACTCAAGCACGGTACACAATTCACGCGTATAAATCACACAATCAGTTCAGCATGAATCCACGGAAATTGAGGCCCATCACATTACTCCCTTCCTGATAGCATTAGGCACATGTCATGGCACCACAAAATCACTCGCATTTAGGGACCATTCAACCACTAGTTCGGTCAATCCATCATTTCCGGCACTTACACTCCAAACCTTAATTCAATCGCGCCTTGTCCGACTAATTTCCAAAGTGGACAGCCATTAAATCAATTGCGCCGGGCCATTTAATGACCTCAAAATGTTCCACTAGACTCCCCAAGACACCATTTTAATCAGCCACCATAATGCCAAATAAGGTGCGCACTAGAATCCACATTTTAAACCCGAAACTTCCCAAACTTGGCTAATCCGATCCAAATCTGTCCAGCCAATACTCGGCGCTTCTCAGGCTACTAAACCTCCATTTATTTATTGCACTAAGCCCATAGAACAGCCACCAAAACAGCCATGGCACAAACTTGACACACAATCCATGCACATATTCACACAACCGGGTCAACAAGAATTCGCGCATTCGAGGCCCGCCAAGCTATTCCCTTCTTAGCCCCGCTAGACATGCGACACGACATCACAAATCCAACCACAAATAAAGGCCAATCAGCCAGTCAATCAATCAATGCGATCATTCCCGGTAATTGCAAGATTAACTCCAAATAGATCGCGCCTTGTCCAATTCAATCCGTTAGGGACAGCCACTATACCGCTAATTTTAGGCCAATAAATATCTTCAAAATGCCCCATTAAACTTCCCAAAACATCATTCTAATCAGCCACCACAAAGACCAAATGAGGCGCGCACTAAAATCCATATTTAAAGCCCGAACTTACTCCAAACTTGGACCGTTCCGAACCAATCTGTCCAGCCATCTCACGGCACCTCGCGGGTCACTAAATCTCAACTAAATTGTCGCACTAAGCCCGTAAAATAGTCACCAAGACAGCCACCATTTGGTCTCCCAATTTCACCCGCTAAATCTACAATTCCGTCCAAATCACGGCACCTATGCCTCGCCACATTACAGCACACTATAGTCCACTAAACCTCAATTAAATCATCATTCTCAATCACCAAA